TTAATTGTATGCAGAATGATGAAAGGCAGTTTTCAATTGCAGCTCTTATTGAAGCAACATTCATCCACTAATGAGAGCTCTAGTAACCTAGGTCTGAACTGGAAAGAAGGGACAGGTGGCTTCAGGAGGTGGTTATCTGCAGCTGCTTGCTGGGAATTAAGATGCTAGAGATCAGTCGTGCTTAAGGAGTGGTGGCACAAATTATAGAAATATTAAATGCTGATGTTGTGTTGCACCGTCACGTCCCAGGACTTTTATCTGACATTCTGCTGGAGAGGGACCCAGTGCTCTGCACGGAGATCACACAAACATTTCAGAACAGCCAACTTACTTGCATCTAAAAGCAGCTTCACAATTTCAAAGTTCGAGTGGGAGACGCTATAATGGAGAGCTGTGTTGCCATTGCCATCCGCCATGTTGATGATATATCTGAGGACTGCAGGAGAAACCTCCAGAAAAGCAGCGATGTAGTCTCCAACCATTGCAGGAACAGCCGACTTTTGGCTGGATACACGGAACCACTCATGCTGGATGGTGTTTAAACAAAATCTCTGCCAAAGACACACAAAAAAGTTTTTCAGAAGGATGCCTGTATTTGCAAGCGGTTTCTGTCCAGTACTGAAATTACAGGAAAAGTAGGCTTCTCCTTTAAATCAAAAGTTGGCAAAAATTCCTAGGCCACCACATTTATTATTATTATTATTATTATTATTATTATTATTATTAACTCTTTTTCTGGCTTCTGTAGTATTTTAGCCACACAAAACACTTAGAAAAAAAGCACAAAGTGTCAGCCTCTGCTTTAACAGGGCTTGACTTTTACCTGCCTCCTGCAACAATTTTGAAATAAGTATGTTCATGGACATTTGGAGGATAAAGAGTGTGTTTTGGTGGTTGACAAAAAAGCATGGAAAACCGAGAATGCATGCAAGGAGCCTCCTCCTCTCTTGTCAAGAAAAGAAAACCATCCTTGGTGAGATTCACACACCCCCCCCGATCATTAACATTTATGTAACATTTGAGAACAGCCCCATTTGCCCAGGCATTTGCCCATAATTTGAAATTCTTAAATTGTGAGGATACTTGGGTTTGCTTTTCTTTTTTAACACTGCATTGCTTTTATTGGTGCTAAAAGCGGGACCAGGGCAATAGACAACCACAGGCCATACGTCTCTAGGGAGTGCTCAACTGCTTCAGAAGAATCTGGTGCCCATGGACAAAAGCCATACTTTTAACATAGGATGGAGCAGAAGCTCTAGTGTGCAATACGAACTAATACTGTGTGACACAGAAGAAAGATAGCCAGCAGGGCAGATGTGCGACTGGAATGTCCTTTAACCCAGAAAATCTGGCTCTTGAGTCAGGATTGACATAAATTGAGCTTTATTGGCTACGAGCCCTCCAGAAATACTAATTATCTCTAAGGTGGCATTTGCATACATGTTCATCTGTGTGTATACACTCAACATAGTTTTTCACTAAAATGATGCCATAAACCAGGGGTCGGCAAACGAAGGCCCATGGGCCAGGTCAGGCCCAATTGCCTTCAGGATCCGGCCCGCAGACTGTCCGTGGATCGGCGTGGGGATTCTGTTGGTTCGGACTGCGCCATTCCATCCCCCTCCCCACACACTGCGGCAGCACCTCCTCCCTCCCTCCCAGTATATCTGAAGGAGCGTCTCTATCCCCATTGTTCTGCCTGGACACTGAGGTCCAGCTCCGAGGGCCTTCTGGCGGTTCTCTCCCTGCGAGAAGTGAGGTTACAGGGAACCAGGCAGAGGGCCTTCTCGGTGGTGGTGCCCACCCTGTGGAACGCCCTCCCTCCAGATGTCAAAGAGAACAACTACCTGACTTTTTAGAAGACATCTGAAGGCAGCCCTGTTTAGGGAAGCTTTTAATGTTTGATGCATTACGGTATTTTAATATTTTGTTGGAAGCCGCCCAGAGTGGCTGGGGAAACCCAGCCAGATGGGCGGGGTATAACTAATAAATTATTATTATTATATTATTATATTATTACTCCTGGCTTCTCCCCGCCCTGACGAGAGGAGGAAGGGGGCTGGGCTGAGCTGGCTGGGTGCCATTTTAAGCAGCCCCTCTCTGAAGCCAGCCCTTTCGCGCCGCTCATCTTCCCTCCACCGCCGCCCTCGGCCAGAGAGTGGCGCTCGCTCTGCCTACACACGAGAAGCAGGAATAGCGATGGCGGCAGCCCCTGGGAAGGTAAGCACAGCGGCTGGTGGGGAGGACTATTTGCCCCCCTTGCCTCTTCTTCCAGCTCCCCCCCCCCAGTACCGCTTCCCCAGACCACCACAAGGTCTGAGGGACAGTGCACTGGCCCGTGGCTAAAATTTTTTGCTGACCCCTAGTATAAACAGTGTGAAGGAAAGCCTGCCGGAAAGCTCCGAGACAATGCAGGTTATCTGGGGACACCTGAGGCTGAAGGGCAAGTATTGGCCCATCGGCCTTGATCTGCTCGTCTGCGTGGCACAGATCATATACTTCAGCCCAACTTCAAAAATGGAGAGATGGAAAGAATTTCTTCCGGTGTTTGGCTAGAGCTGGAGTACATTCCACATTGGAACACAAACTTTATACTTTCATAATCAAGAGGAATGCAAACTTCCTATCCTGTGTACTTTCCCAAATGTGTTAGGGCTGCCAAGATCAGAAGCATGACTAAGTGAATGGTAGTTCTGCTTTCAGCAGCTTGAGGATGCTTCATGGGGCTTTAAAACAAGCCTTTTAAAAAATGCTTTCCTTCTATTAATAGCTGCATTAACTAGTGGCACAATGATGTTTGGGAAGGTAAGTGGGCTGAAGTCTTTTTGGATGGGACTGAAGTTAGATTCAAGCCTCCATCACTCTTATTGAAGGGAAGGAATGCTTGGGTTTCAGCATGCCTGGTCATTTTGGCACACAAATGTGGCTACCTTCATTCTACCATGGTCCCTCGAGTGTCCACAGTAGATTAAGCAGGTCTACTTCTTCAGTACAGTGGTACCTCGGGTTACATACGCTTCAGGTTACAGACACCGCTAACCCAGAAATAGTGCTTCAAGTTAAGAACTTTGCTTCAGGATGAGAACAGAAACCGGGCCCCGGCAGTGCGGCAGCAGCAGGAGGCCCCATTAGCTAAAGTGGTGCTTCAGGTTAAGAACAGTTTCAGGTTAAGAATGGACCTCCGGAACAAATTAAGTACTTAACCCGAGGTACCACTGTATCTGAAGAAGTGTGCATGCACTTGAAAGCTCATACCAATAACAAACTTAGTTGGTCTCTAAGGTGCTACTGGAAGGAATTTTTTTATTTTGCTTCAACTACGGCAGACCAATACAGCTACCTACCTGTAACCAGGTCTACACGGATAGCTTTGCTGCAGGAAGCAGGAAATGCAACCTGCTATTTCCAGGGAAATTTCCCTTTTATGGGCCTTTTTAATTTTTGCTTCATCTGAGCAGGATCCGGCAAGCTGCAGCAATCAAGGCAGTGATGTCTTGGCATATAGACAGCTCCATGAAATAAGTAGCTAACCACTTCTCTTAGGCAACTCAGATTTTAATGTGGCAAGTAATGAGAGCATATTTAATTTTCAAATAGCACTGGACTTACTATCTCTTTGCTGAGCATAGCCTTTGGATCATCGATGCTGCCTTTAAGAAGATGGCAGGCAGACAGCATCTTTTCACTCAATTCATATCTGAAGGAGGGGAAAAAAGAGGTTATGTTTAGACGACACACTTTCTGGCATTCGTGTTTGGAGCGGGGGGGGGAGGGGATGAAAAAATAGGATGCTTTTTATCAACCGCTGCAATTTGGAATTTTTTAGGGCAGCAGAAGACAGTGGAGGTACTCTGAGAAAGAAGAACAGTGGCATGAACTGACTTTATATCAAGGAAGGTGGTAAGATGCCTTACACATTTTATTCTAAACTTCCGAAAAGTATCCTCAAAGATCAATGCCTAAAATATCTCCCCAACCTCTTAAAGCCCCTCCAGTTAGTGTAAAGGCCAGTGCTTTTTTCACACACACACACACACACACACACACACGCGTGTGTGTGTGTGTGTGTGTGTGTGTGTATATATATATATATATATATATATATGAGTACAGTGGTACCTCGGGTTACATACTCTTCAGGTTACATACTCTTCAGGTTACAGACTTCGCTAACCCAGAAATATTACCTCGGGTTAAGAACTTTGCTTCAGGATGAGAACAGAAATCGTGGTCTGGTGGCGCAGCAGCAGCAGGAGGCCTCATTAGCTAAAGTGGTGCTTCAGGTTAAGAACAGTTTCAGGTTAAGTACGGACCTCTGGAACGAATTAAGTACTTAACCTGAGGTACCACTGTACTCTCATTTTCCTACTCATATTGAAATATTGCCCCTCAACGAGGCCAAACTTAGATTCACAAAAGGTTTCGGGGTATGCGTCCCCCCAGAAAAAAAAGCACTGGTAAAGGCTGTATAGAATCAGCAGGTGTGTACAAAGCCTTCGTACTTGAAAGCCCTTATGCAGCGTCACTGTTTAGAGGACTGAAGTCAAGCAGGTAGATACAGGAGCTATCGTGCAATACGTGTGAAGACCCCTCCAATGCAACAAGAAATCTGGCTGCCTGAACCTATGGATGGCTTGCTTCAATGTATGTTACTTATGAACATGGGAAGCTGCCTTGCACAGTGGAACCTTGGTTCCTGAACGGCTTAATTGCTGAACAAATCGGCTCCCGAATGCTGCAAACCCGGAAGTAAGTTTTCCGGTTTGAGAATGTTTTTCCAAGGCCAAATGTCCGACGTGACTTGAGTGCAGGGAGCTCATGCAGCCAATCGGAAGCCATGCCTTGGTTTTCAAACCGTTTCGGGAGTCAAACAGACTCCTGGATCGGATTAAGTTCGAGAACCAAGGTTCCACTGTACTGAGTCAGACCTTTAATTTATCTAGTTCAATATTGTCTTCGCTGACTGTCAACAGCTCTCCAGGAACTGAGACAGCTCTACTTGGAGACACCAGGGATCGAACCTGCGACCTTCTGAATGGAAAACAGCTGCTCTACCCTAGAGCCACGGTCATGCCATGACATATTATGTTACATTGCAAGCATCTCTGGCAAGACGCACTTGAAGTAAGTCATTCAGGTCGCCATTGTACAATCGTGCCAGAGACTAATTTGCAAAGGATGTTTGTGTCACGAAGGACAGGATTGTCAATTATCCTGGAGCAATCATCTATTATTTCCAGCTTTATGATTCTAAACTGTGCAATACATTTGAATTATGCCATCTAATCAAGCGGTGGATGTTTAATTAATAGTAATGATGCAAACATTATTGAGTGGCATCTGATTAAACGGCACTCATCACTAAATAAATATGCATTGTTTGATGGCTACTGAAATATCAACGTTTGATTTCTGCCATTATTGTGCTACCATTTCTGCCATTTATTTAAGTCTCTTGACACACTCTTAACTCTACATGTTAGCAATGTTTCCCCCCCAACTCAACGGGTGTTTCATTTTGGCTCTCATTTGTAAACCATATTTCTCGCTTAAGTTTATTCATTATGTAAGAAATAATAAAAACACATACAGTACTGCCTACAATGCAAAGCACAGCGTGTGTTTGAATCCTATTTATTAGAGGTGCAAACAAATTGTGGGACAGCAACTTAACATTCATAGAGTTTGGGTTTAATAGACCACACTCAGCATATTTCTCAGTCTAGAAAGATTAGTAGACATATCCAGACTTCAGAAGGAGGAATTACACAGGAAACCTAGGAGCCAGCGTTAGAAGAGGAAGAATCTTGTAGCTATGAACACAGTTTTGGATGGAGGCAGCTGTGTAGTCCTCCTATCTGCCCTTTGTCCAATGACCAGGTAGATTAAACATCCTTAAAAAGTACATGATTTTAACAGGTCTATAAAAGAAATTGGAAGGACTTACAAGGGGGCTTGAGGTATCCCTGGTTCACCCCTCTTTTTTATTGTACTGGGGAACAGGTCTTATGGGGAGGGGGAAATAAGAGAGGTACAACTGGTATAAATTCCAGATACAGCAACTTGAAAGTACAGAGAAGTGAAATTATTATTTTGGATTTGATATCCCGCCTTTCACTCCCCTTAAGGAGTCTCAAAGCGGCTAACATTCTCCTTTCCCTTCCTCCTCCACAACAAACACTCTGTGAGGTGAGTGGGGCTGAGAGACTTCAGAGAAGTGTGACTGGCCCAAGGTCACCCAACAGCTGCATGTGGAAGAGCGGAGATGTGAACCCAGTTCACCAGATTACAAGTCTACCGCTCTTAACCACTACACCACACTGGCTCTCTCTTCAAATAATGCTTTGAAAATTCCTCAGAAATATAAAAAGAGATTGCAGTGACTGCTGCTCTGAATATTAAGCAAAACACAAAGCAGGAATTAGCTTCCGGGTTCCGAAAATAAGTCTTACATTCAACTTGGCCCCCAAAGCTTAGGCTGTAGACAACTACCAATGGTCAGAATTGGAGTCTAGTTTCCCTAGACACATAACATTTTAGAATGCGTAAATGACAACGGTACCTCTCACGGATTTCCACTTTCTCCATCTCTGCCTCTTGAACCTCCACCATTTCTTCCACCCTGGCAGACTTAACATCTCCAGTGTTTATCTCCTGCTGTCCTTCCACCGCAAGCAAACTCCCATTCTCTTCAATTTGAGCATATTCGTTCCCGACACACTCATCATCTGACTCAGATGACGAACTCTCTTCTGAACTGGAATCGTCACTCGATGTTGTTTCATACCTACACATGACAAAATTCAGTTGTCTATCGATGCTGCGTATAAATTCATTTCATTTAATAAGCAGCTTATTAAAAATGTCGCTTATTTCATTTCACTTAAGTAGCTGCGAGATCCCAGTTGTTCACAGATTACATTTATGGAGGAGGAATAAACTATGTCCAGAAAAGTCTGGTGGCTTCTCTCCAAAAGGTTCAAAAGTGAAGATTTGTAGTAAAGCACTGTCTAGTAGAGGAGAAATCAAGCACCAGAATGGGAGGGGCAAACAGACGTTACTCAATGCTAACAAAACTACAGTACGACAACAAATCTAACTTTCTAAAAACCTGACTGGTTCATGCAAATACCGTGTGACCCCATGAAGATTACAACATTTCAGTGTTAATAGCTGTTTTGTATACAGTGCCATTTCCAATTGTTCTTGTGAGTTGGTCTTGTCAGAAGGCAGGAACGTTGCAGAAAATCCAATTTGTTTTTATGAAAAGGAAGACAGGCTGAAAGTGGGCAAGTCTACTAGACACATGGCAAATTGACAGCTGTGTTCAGTTAATCTGAAAGACCATAAAACCGGAAAATTCATGGGCATTTAGTGTAAAAGGTGTTAAACGCTGCAGACCAGGAAGTGACCAGGCCAAATATGAGGTCGCTGAGTGGGTACTCGCTGGGTGGCAGACTTTAGTATAAGGCTATGAGAGGAATTTTCTCTCCTGTCACATCCTTAAGTTTTCACTAGCTGTGATCTACTATCAGTAGCACAATATTACGTTGTCCGCTTAATACATTAGAGAAGTTTTGCTACAAGAGAATATAATATTTTTTAATGTCTTAAAGTACACAATGCAACATCCACACTCCACTTCTCTCCCCTGAAGAGAAGCACAAAGCCTTGAAAGAGTTGAATTTTATTATTTTATTTTAAAAAGGAAAAAGAGAGAAGGCTTATGAAATGGTGTGGAATTGCTAAAATGGAACAGGATATTCTTCTTCCTGACCATAGTGTGGGGGGGCACGAATGTCGCAGTGGGGAAAAGGAGCAAAGTGCAGCCACATTCTAGGCAGCTCTCATTCCTGACATCATAAAAAGCTAGTTGTGGAAAGAAGCACGTCACTGTTTGAGGGCTAGAAAAGTGGGGATTTGCATGCAGCGGAAACTGTACACAGCAGAGAAACACATGGAACCCACAAAACAAAGCGGAACTATTTCACAGAAAGCTAGTCCTTAGGTTGTCATATCGTGAAGTCTCCTTTTGTTTTTATAATGGACATCACAGTCGTACCTCAGAAGTCGAATGGAATTTGTTCCGGAAGCCCATTTGACTTCCAAAATGTTTGGAAACCAAGACGCCACTTCTGATTGGCTGCAGGAAGCTCCTGTAGCCAATCGGAAGCTGCAGAACTCACGCTGGATGTTCAGGTTCCCAAAAACATTCGCAAACTGGAGCACTTACTTCCAGGTTTGCAGCGTTTGGGAGCCAAAACGTTTGAGTCGCAAGGTGTTCGACTTCCAAGGTATGACTGTAGTCGGTTTTGCTTATATGACTTTGAAAAGGAAGCAGCTTATTTCAGACCTGGAACTCCTTACCCTCCATTAATCCCGACAAACTGCAGGTTCTTCTTCCCATTCTCTTCCTTTTTCCCATCCTTTTTCTTCATGATGGACTTCAACATGCCCTCATTTGCACATACTGGGAGAGAGAGAGAGAGCCACAAGAACTCATTTAAGTAAAGCTTTCACATCCCTATGTGTGCTGCTGTTTCAGATCTTAAAGCCAAGCTGCTCTGGTTCACCTACAGATTTAAGATGTACCGGTGTGGTTAAAAGGTAAAGGGACCCCTGGCTGTTAGGTCCAGTCGCAGATGACTCTGGGGTTGCGGTGCTCATCTCGCTTTATTGGCCGAGGGAGCCGGCGTACAGCTTCCGGGTCATGTGGCCAGCATGACTAAGCTGCTTCTGGCGAAACCGTTTACCTTCCCACCGGAGTGGTACCTATTTATCTACTTGCACTTGATGCGCTTTTGAACTGCTAGGTTGGCAGGAGCTGGGACCCAGCAATGGGAGCTCACCCCGTCACGGGGATTCGAACCACCGACCTTCCAGTCGGCAAGCCCTAGGCTCTGTGGTTTAACCCAGAGCGCCACCCGTGTCCCACTTGTGTGGTTATAAGCACATAAAGTTGGGTCCCAATGAATAATGCACCGGAAATTAGCCCTCCCCTGACCCCTCTTCCCCATGCCCAGCTGCCTCCTTTCCCAGCCTTTGGATTATTTATTTATAAAAAAATATCTGTATACTGCAATTTCACCAAAAAAGAAAAAAAAGAAAAAGAAAGCAAAGCGGTTTGAAACAATTATAATACAACAAAAACCAAACAAAAATTGAAACAGATCACCAGCTAGTTATTACCTAAAACTTTTTTTCTGAACTGTTTGCATAAGCCTGGCGGAAAACATGTAAAAGGGGATTCAAAAGGGATTTAGAAGTATGAGACACAAGTGTTTTTAGAGCTTACTTTGAAATACAGTCGAACCTTGGAAGTCCGTTCCGGAAGTCCGTTCAACTTCCAAAACGTTTGGAAACCAAAGCATGGCTTCTGAATGGCTGCAGGAAGCTCCTGCAGCCAATCGGAAGCGCCATCGGACGTTCGGCTTCCCAAAAAACGTTCGGAAACCGGAACACTCAACTTCCAGTTTTCCATCATTTGGGAACCAAAACGTTCAGCAACTAAGCCATTCGAGATCCAAGGTACAACTGTATACATTTCCTTTGTGTTGTAAGAGACAGGTGTCATTATATTTGGGTTGCTGAGATATTTATATTGTCTGCAACAATAGAATCGCAGAGTTGTAAGGGACTTTGTGGAATATGCAGCTGCCCCAAACTTTGCATTATCAGCGTCATCCTCTAACCAAATGGGCATGGAGCAAGGGTATAATTCTATTATGAATTACATTTCTCCTGCTTGAATTAATGACATTTTCCCTAAAAGAGTTCCACTTGAGAGTGGTGCACGAAGAAACCATAATGGCCAGATATGTTTATTTACAAACTAACAAGAGCACAAATAACAACAAAGCAAAAAAGAAATAAAGCAATAATAAATAAATTACCATAAAGCCCAGAGGCCAGCTGGTCATCTGTAAGATTAATAGGAGACATGGTGCTGTCTTGGGAGGGTGAGGCTGTCCGGTCCGGTCCTGCTCCCACTAGGGTGGTCTTCTCCTTGCTTATTGTCCCCATCTCCTGACCCCGTTTCAGCACTTGGGAGCTTGAAACTAAATGAGAACTACCAGGGTGGCCACGAGGAACGTGCAACAAATTGTCCGCTGTTAGCAAAGAAAGGAGTGGATTACTGAACCATGAAAGCTTCTGGTTTAATGTTTCTGCTATACAGTGGTCCCTTGGTTCTTAAACGCCTTGGTACTCAAACAACTTGGAACCCAAACACTGCAAACACGGAAGGAAGTGTTCCAGTTTGCAAACCTTTTTTGGAAGCCGAACGTGCTCCGTTTTGAGTGACACACTTCCGTTTTGAGTGTTACGCTGAGGTCTGTCTGTTTTTGCTATTTATTTTGCGTTTTTGTGGCTCCTTTTTTGTTTTGTTTATGTGACTGTGTGGAACCCAGTTCAGCTACTGATGGATTGTGAGACTGCAGTACATTGTTTATTGCTTTCATTTTATGGATCAATGGTCTCATTAAATAGTAAAATTCATGTTAAATTGCTGTTTTGGGGTTTGTTTTTAAAAGTCTGGAACGGATTAATCCACTCTGCATTACTTTCTATGGGAAAGCGCGCCTTGATATTGGTTTTGGAACGGACTTCCAGAACGGATTAAGTTTGAGAACCAAGGGACCACTGTACTCAAGTTCTAGTATTTTGTTATAAATGGAAATACCTCAAATATCCACAATGCACAACAGTTTGCTCCTGTTTGTGCTCGCTTGGCCTCTTCTACATTGAAACCAACTTCTTAAACATGCTCACATTTCACTGGATGCCAGGAATAGACACCTCCCCCTCTTGCATCCTGGTCACAGAGGCTGTGGCAGTAGTAGTAATAATAATAATAATAATTTTATTATTTCTACCCTGCCCATCTGGCTGGGTTTCCCCAGCCACTCTGGGCTGCTTACAGCATATATTGAAACATAATAAAACATCAGACATTAAAGACTTCCCAATACAGGGCTGCCTTTAGATGTCTTGTAAAAGCTGTGCAATTCTTTATCTCCTTGACATCTGATGGGAGGGCGTTCCACAGGGTGGGCGCCACTACCAAGAAGGCTCTCTGCCTGGTTCACTGTAAGTAAGTCCAGTGAAATAACTTCAAATGTTATCTGTAAAACAATTTGAACAGATAACACCTGAAGTTATTTCACTGGACTAAATTAATTTTTTTTTAAATTACCATTTTGCTTTGCTTTTCAGAATTCAAGGACATCAGTTTTTACTTGTATAAAAAGGCGCTGCTGTTCAATGACCACACGCAAAAAGTTAATAATAAACAGTCCCTCCCATGGGGTAAATCTAACATCTGGAAATGAAGCTGGTTACTTCTATATCTCACACCTCTATCCTCCAGAGAAAAAGATGCTCTTGGACTTTCTGCAACAAGGTAGCTGCCAAAATAGGGGGTGGAGTATTCATTTATTTTATTTAAAGCATTTATTAGTCATGACTCAGAGTGCTTACAAAGCGAGACATAAAATGTAGCATTTTTTTTAAAGAGACAATGGCCCTTCAGCATATTGAGAATAAATGATTTCTAGTTTCTTCCAATAAATGTGGAGTCTTTGTGGAACACCATTAAAAGAAAAGCTTTGAAAGCCGACTGATTCATGACAGCAAAATGCATCCAATGAAATGTGGAAGGATACAAATTCCAAGTTTTAAGAGCTCTTCCTGGAAGATGCTGTAGGCAGCTGGGAGAAGCTGGAATGGACTTCTGACTTTTCTTCTTCCTCACCCCCAAGAAATGGCCCAGTAAAATCCAGCGTCTTTCAAAATGTGCTTTTCCTTCTGGGAAACCGTGATGTTTTTGTTTTTCTTATTATTATCCTGGTACATCGCCTATACACACATTAAACAACTGCAAATATTTAACAAGATGTTTCCATTGTGGTGGTTTCCAAGAAGGAAAGGGGGGGGGAACGTTTTGAAAGATACAGGACTGTTGTTGCAAAACAAGGCCAACTCTCAATGGCTGCATGAGACTTGGTCTGACACATGGAACTACTATTACTTAACGCATTAAGAGACTAGGCTGCCATTCATTTTAAGGCCTCTAAATATTTTAAGCTGGAGGTCTGTGCGGAAAATATTTTCTTAAAAAAAACAAGTAGCAATGTAGCCCTCAATAGCCACTATATGGCACGCTTGAATAAAAACAAATAGTGGAAACTTGTGTGACTTCCCACACCAATTTTAAAAGTTACTTTGTGTAAGTAAAATGATCAAATCCCTTTTGTAAATCAATTAAGGGCTTCTAAAATCAAAAGCAGTGGGCAAAGTCAGCAAATTAAATTATACTATTAATTAAATTAAATTAAATTAATTAAATTATAGTAGAACCAGCGAGAGCAAAGAGCCTCGTGTCACTCATGTTTATTAATTTCAACGGATCTACGTGGAGTATAAATTTGTTGGCTAACACCCAGCAGGTTTAGCTTCTGCTAAAATAAAGGCTTAATTTCATGTAAGTGTCTAGGACCTAGTTCTCTCTAAAGTGGGAAACCTACATCTATCATAAACAGCCACTTAAAACTTTTATTTTTTTAAAAAGAAAGATTCCTGCAAATTGGAGAAAGAGAAGATTGTACCTGCGATGGGGATTTTCTGAATGGAAAAGCATTTGAGCTAAGTGAGCCCCTACCTGCAGCCTGAAGCTGTAAGGCCCAGGCCTTACAGAGAACATATGACTAGGGGATTAGGTGCAATGGTGCAAATTCATTGTTAAATAATGGAGGGCTGGGATAATGGTCAGCGTATGATGGCTGTTCAGAGAAATCACTTTAAAAAGACCAGACCACCATAGGGAGGTACAAAATCTGGACACGTCCCATTAAGACACTACTAATTACAGGTCACACAGATAATTGTGTGCATAATAGCCAGGATCCCTAGGACATCTGCCCATAGTACAGAGGACAGGGGAAGCAGTGTAATGACAGACCTGCCTTTATCTGTAGGTAAGCAACACTGAGAAACAGAATTAGTTATGACGAATCAAAAGTATAAAGGCAGTGGGAGCAAACGTCCCTAGTCTGCAAAATGTTCACAGAAATGAGACAACTGTGGTAATAGCTGTTCTACTCTATAAAATACCTCTGGCCGTAATTTTAGAATCACTTCCTGCCATTAAGAGGGGTCTGAGCTCTTAAGATCTTGAACTATATAAAGGTTAAATTCCCAGGAAACAGGACAGACGATTATCCAGTCACTTGGTATTTTTAGGCATTTTAGGTATTCAAGCACTGACACCGCTTTTATCTATTCACGGCAATCTAAGACTGGCATCTCCTCCCCAATCCTTTCAGTCCTGGAAAGGCAAGTCATGACATAAGCAGTTTGGTGAGAGCGACTCGTGCCCCTCCTTTTAAGGCACCAGCAACCTTTCAGCAAACGAGAAAGCCCCCTCCAGCATACCTGCTGCCGAAGTTCTCTCCGCGCACTGCTTCGACATATCCAAGTTGCGCAGTTCCTCGGTGCTTGCATACTTCATGACGCTGTTGATGGAGGACAGAGTGCTGATGAGCTGAGAATTAATAGAGCCGATCTGTGAGTGGGGCTGTCCAAACGCATCAGCTAACTCAGAATAGTTTTCAGCAAGTAGCATCTGCTGCTCTTGAACGAGCTTCTGGACCCGTTCGATGTAATGATCCAAGCCGGTCTTCATCTCAGGCTGAGAAAATGGGCTGTCCAGCCCAAGGTTCCCCCAGTCAGAAACAGAGTCATCTCCAACACCAATGCTTCTCGTGCCAGGCGGCGCTACAGACACCGGAGGAGGACCACAGGCAATATTTCTCATTTTCAGGCCCACTAGATAGTTCTCGTTAATACTGATCTGCCCCACGCCACAGTCTTTGGTCTTTGTTAGGGAGGGTTTGTCAAAGCTGGCCGTGCTAGAAAGCACTGTCCCCACGCCAATGGAGCGAGTTTTAGCCGCCGTATTTACATCCTTGACCCTTCCATCTCCTATAGCGACTGTCCTCATCTCAACAATCACAGTGTTTGTCTGCTTATCGCAAGTGCTCAGGAAAGTGTTGGTGCCAGAATCCGTCAAGGGAGCTACGTCCGTGTTGGTGAACTGGTCAGCTTGTTCTAACACTGTGTTGGTTCCCTGGGTCGCCGTACGAGGCACCGCCATGACTCCAGTATCTGCCTTGCAAGCAGGTTCCGTGTTGGTGCTACGGGAAACGGCCTTGCTTGCTGGGCAGACTGTTTGGACGGGAGAGTCTCCGCAGCCTATGGACCGAACTTCCTTGATTTTCAGCTCCGTCTTGCGCAGGCTTAATCTGTCCACGGATTCCTCCGTATTGACCCCCGTTTCGCAAACGGACCTTTCCGTGCCCACACCCTTGTCGCACATCTCAAGAGAGCTCCCAGTGCACCGATCACACATTTCTTTTCTCTCCTTCACAATCCACCAATTCATAGGCACATCTGGGCCCGCAGCTGAACTGTGCAATTGAGGCCTGCACAATACTCCAACGCTGCTCATCTGCAGATGGCTCCCCACGCATGAATCAACCACATCCACGTGACCTCCCACCATTTGGTCTTTTGTTTGTACGACTGCTTCCACCGCTCTGCTGAAGACAAGGGGCTGCGCCATCATCGCCTTGTCCATTTTCTTCCTTGATCCAGCTGCCTGGAGCTCATGCTTTAATTTGGTCATCTCTCTGTCGTGAGTCGTTTCCCTCAGCTGAACTTCCAGCCGGTAGATCTTATCTTTGAGGGCTTCGATGGTCTGATGCTGGAGCTCTAGTTCCCTCTCTGCCTCTGTAGGCAGGCCAAGCATCCCCTCCGTCACCCCGACGCTCGAATCTTTAGTCTTCTGCTCTGTTCCTACTGCTACATCCCTGCACTTTATCAAAGCTCTGTTGTACACAACAACGTCGTTCATGTTCTCCTCTGTGCCCACGGCAACCGATCTGCTCTCTTTCGCTGCACTCGCTCGGTTCACTCGCAGGTTAGATGGAACGTCGTAGCTGCTGTCCTGGATCTTCTTCTCCAGGGCTTGCATTTCAGCAGTCAACTGCCTGAACTCTTCCACCCTCTCTGAGCTATGTTCCACGCTTCCCATGTCTTCCTCACAGTCTATATAGAGTTCGCCACCCCCTCTGGCCGGAGAGAGGGGCTTCCACTGCTCCGCATTTCCTGCGCTATAAGATCTCTTTCTGAAATGGCCTGCGTCGTTCTGGTTGACGACCCTTTGGCTTTTGAGCTTCTCCACCATCTGCCTTTTCTCCTCCTGCAACACCGAAATCTTAACCTGGAGCACAGGGATAGTCTTGACTTGCTCCTCAAGCTCCTTGAGGCGCTTGAGGGCAATGGCCATTTGTTCCCTGATGTGTTGCAGGTGCACCGGGCTGACGTTAGTCACCGGTGTCGATATCCCTGAGCTCAAGGGGCTGTGGCGGATGGAGCTCCCTAGAGAGGATGCAAGATAAAGATTATATTCCCCATTGCCCTGGTATCCGTTCTGAAACTGCTGAGACATCTGGTTGTGGCCGCTGGACCCCACAAAGGAAGGGAGGGAACTTGTGGAGCCCATGGCTCCAAAACTGGAAAGCCTCGGCCTCCGAGATTCTCCTGGAACTGCCTGCATCGCCATCTTCTCCTGCTCCAATCTCCTCCGTGTTTCCATGAGAGTTTTCGTAACGCGGAGGTTGTGGCGAGGTGGCTGTGGCGAAGGAGGCCGGAGCTGTTTGCTTTCAGGGATAGTTAGGAAACTTGGAGAGGCTTCAAAGGACAAGGACGGTCTCGGGGCAGCGGCTGCTGGGCTTCGTGCTGCAAAGAGCGAAGATGAATGTTTGTTTTCATCACTGTTGGACGAAGACAGAGATTCATTGGATGTCCATCCGCTGTATTGGCCAGAGGTGTTTCTGCCAGCTGCAAAAGGTGGCGTCACTTTCTGCTTTTTCTGAATGTTCAGTTTCTTAATAGTATTTCCCTTCTGTATATCCTCCACATACTTGAGAAAATCCAAATCAAGCTGGTAACCGTAAGGTGTTTCCACAAAATAGGGGTCCTTCTGATTTCTGTCATCCTCCCCATTCAGAGCATTTTCATCTTTTTCTAAAAGAAGGAAACACACACACATTAAGCATAAAATCCTACATAAAAGGGTTTTTTTGTTTGTTTGTTTTGGAAAATTATAAGCACTCT